GCAGCCCGTCAGGAGTCAGGTGTCCTTGCTGGATTACTCAGCACTTTCCCGGAAGAGGAGGAGAAGCCTTCAGCCCAGACCTCCTTGGGGTCCCAGGCTCTTGGGGTCAGCCCCGGGCTGTTAGCAGAGGGCAAGCTACCCAGCCTGGTGCCACGGAAGGTGGTGCCATCCTGCCCTACCTTGCGGACAGTCAGGACTCTAAGCAGCAGGGTGGCCAGCAGGAGCTCCGCCCCCTCGACCGCCACTACCAGGGTCAGGTAGCCGCCTGCAGCCTGGGCATTGCTGCGCAGCCACTCCCGCAGCGGGGCCCCACAGCCCTCCAGGTGCACCCTCCTCTGCGCTGCGTCCTGGTCCAGTCTCAGGACCCCGAAGCCGCACTGGTCGTTAATGGAGTCTCCACCTTCCAGGGGGTCGATGCAGCAGGAGGCAGGAAGGCTGCAGGCCTGTACCCCTGGAGAGCTGCAGTTGAAGTACCTGCAGGGGGGGCAGGCTCAGCTTTGCAGGAGGGAGGGCCTGTCCTCTCCCCACCTTCTACTTCCAAGGCCATGCACGGGCACCTGCACATGCTCACAGGCAGGCACAAGAGCATGCACACACGTGTGCACATGGATATGTGTGCAGCATCAGCTTCCTACTGTGTGTCTGGTGGGCGGCAGCCCTCTGCCCGGGCCCCTTCACCCAGGCAGGCAGTTGTCTGAACCAAAGGGAACTTTCTGGGGAGATGGTTAAAGGAGAGATGAGCTCTGGTGGGTGGAAGTGGGAAGGCCTCACTTCACGGAGGCTCTGAGTGCATGGAGCAGGCAGAGTCGAGGTGGGGGGGGCTGAGCTCTGGCAGAAGCTGTGGGGTGGCCTGCAGGTCCCAGCGGGAAGAGTGGGGTGTGAGAGGCAGTTCTGGGACCCCTGGGGGCATGACCTCTCTCACAACCCCAGCTTCTGGCAAGCCCAGGGCCCTGCTCACATGCTCAGGCCTCGACGTCACCTCCCTGGATCCCACTGCGGTATCTGCAGTGGAATCCCGACACCGCAGGGCACGGCCGCCAGTCTGAGGGCACACTGGCCGACACAGAGGCAGCCTGGGTGCCACGCTCCTAGGTGGGGGGCCTGGAGCCTGGAGGCCCAGCATGTTCTGCCATCTGTCTGCTTCTGCCTCTGTGCTCAGGTTTCTGGAATGCACACCAAGGCTCGTGGGCTGGAGCCCACCCTATGTCCTAGGGCTGTGGGAGGACAGGTGCTGCTCTGGGAGCCATGACGGGGGAGTCAACGGAGACTCTCCCAGAACACGGAGAGATGCTGTGCTCTGTCATACACACGCACACACGCACACACGTGCACTCCGCAGAAAAGAGAAAGGCTGCACCATGTCACATGCGTACATGCACATGTGTGCGCCCCACAGAACAGAGAAAGCGTGCACCGTGTCACATACGTATGTACACGCACACGTGCACACCACAGGACAGAGAAAGGCGGCACCATGTTACATACATGCGTACAAGCACACATGTACACACCAGAGAATGGAGAAAGGCTGCACCGTGTCGCATGTGTGCATACATGCACACACACATACCACAGGACAGCGACAGGCTGCACTGTGTCACATGTGTGTGTACACGCACACGTGCACACACACAGGACGAGCTGTGGATCCTAACCCGAAGGCTGCTCTGTGTGCCCGATAGCATTTGACCACATCTATGCACATACACCCACACACACGTGCACACACACAGGCACATGGAGGGCAACTACAGCTCTTGATCCAGGAGGAACCCAGACTTAACCTGAAGGTTCTTTCCCCTTGCATTCCTCTGTGTGAGGGAAGAAGGTGACTTCTCAGCGTGCTGGCTCAGCTTGGCCGGAGCCCTGTGTGTCCCAGCCGCCCAGCCCAGGCCTAGGGAGCAGCATGACTCTGTCTCAGGGAGGCCAAGGGGCTGGTTTATGCCAGGAGCCACGTACCAGGGACAGACAGTTCCCCGCACTTTGTGTGTGTGCAAATGTGAGTGTGCAAGTGAGTGCCTGAGTGCTGTGTGAACACGTGAGCATGCGTGAGTGAGCACGTCCGCAGTGAGGCTGTGAACATGTGAGATGTGTGTGCATGTGAGCATGGACGTGCGTGTGTGCACAAGCGAGTGTGGGTGTGGCCGTGCCTCCCTGGCAGCTCGGACTCACAGATTCTCCTGCCAGTCCTGATAGGAGGCGGCCCCGCAGCACTGCAGCCGCAGCTGCACTTGGTCCAGGAGGAAGCGCAGGTCTGGGTCGTCCTGGTAGTGGGCGATGGCCACACGCAAGGTGTGCTCCAGGCTGTCCTGCAGGGGGCCCCAGAGTGCCACCACCAGAGCCCCCGCCACCGCCTCGAGCACCAGAAGGGCGAGGATGCTCCCTGCAAAGCAGCGCAGCAGGCAGGCATTCTCACAGAGGGCGCCCAGGCAGCCGGCCAGGCTCACGGCACTGAATGCCAGGCCCCCCAGCACCAGCCCCAGCATGGGGTCTGCAGGCAGGGAGACCCCCCAGCCACTCCCCAGGGACCCCTTAACGGCTAGACCCCAGAGTCCAGTGGCCAAGGCCAGCAGGCCCAGCAGGGAGAAGAGGAAGTTGGAGAAGAAGGTCAGGATCTTGACACAGGTACTCCCCACAGCGAGGGAGGGGGCCAGGCAGTCCCTCAAAGTCTGATGCCTGGCCCCAGGTGGACAGCGGCTGCAGGCTCCTGCCTGACCATCACTGGGCACCAGACCTGGGCAGCTGGAAGAGAGTGGGCTGTTCACAGAGGGTGCCAGCTTCTGGCCTGTGGTGTCCTGCAGAGGAAGAAGGGGCAAGACAGCTTCACAGTGAGACCCCTCCTCCCCTCAGATCTGTCACAGTCAGCAGTGGGGGTAGGGAAGGAGGAGGAGGAACCTCCAGGGAGCCAGGGAACAGGACCTCTGTGCAGCAGAAGGGACAAGGAGGGACGTGTGGGTCCCAGGCTCCTCAGAACCAGCCCGCACTGACTACTGCTGGGTCTGAGTGAAGCCTGATCAGGCGGAACTCAATAAACACCCTCCTGGTACCAGCAGTTGGTGTAATGGCTACATTACTGGACTCCCACGTAGTCAACTATGGTTCGAGTCCCAGACCCAGTGGCTTAAACTCACGCCAGGTGTGTGTGCACGCATGCCCAAGATCCCGAGAGGAGAATGGAGGAGAAGGGATTGCGGTCCAAGTGGCTGCCTTTCTGCCTTCTAGCATGAAACCAGCCTGCCCCCCCCACCATGTCCCAAGGTCCCTTTCATTGACCCCAGTAACTGAACTTCCTGAAATGTGGACCCAGGGCTGGGTCCTGCTGTAGAAAATGCAGTAAGGGACAGACCAGGGGCTCAGGCAGGGAGAGAGGTGGCCGGAGACCTGGGAGACCACCCATAGGACAATGGGGGAGGGGACCTTCCCAAGGGACAGCCTCGTCCTCAGGGTCCCAGCCAAGTGGGGAGTGGAGGAACTGCTGGGCTCTTTCTGCTGGGGGAAGGGGACCCACAGTACCTGCCTCTGCCAGTGACAGTTTGACTTCAGGTGAGACTTAAGCTGTGGCCATATTACTAGGGAAGGATCCCACCCACTCCAGTTCCACCAGGAGGAAGATGCCCCTTCAACCCTGCCTGCTGATGGCACCCTTATAATTCTGCATGGGGCAGTGGGGAGGAAGGTCACTTGTGGGCCAGGTAGCCAACAGGGCAGGCTGCTGGACCAGGGCTGTGAGAAGCCACTTACATCCACGTACAATCAAAGGACGTTGCCTTTCCCCTGCCCGAGCTAGAGGCTGCCCGCTCGGTCTGTGAGGCCCACCCGAGGCTGGTGCTGGGTGGGATGCAGCAGCTCCTCTGAGGCCCCAGTGACTGCAAGGACTGAGGAGGTGAGAACCTGGCCCAGGACCTCCCATGGGACCTCAGGGGTGGGCAGCAACTCAGGCCCTGGAGGCCACTGGGGCCTGGCTTACCTGGGACAGCAAGGGGCTCCTTTCCCCCTCCTCCATTCTTTGAGCAGGTTCTGGGGCAAGTGCTCCGTCCCTCTGGCTGAGACACCCAGGCAGACACTGCGTCCTGGGCCGCTCTGGCAGCTGGCAGCTCAGAGATGGGGAGCTGCCAGCCCCACCCACATGCCAGTCACAGCTGGGTCATGTGAGGAGTCATGTTTTAGGGCTTAAGGCAGCCTCTGCTGGTAGAGATGCCGACACCGTTCTCACCCGCATTCTTGGCCTCGACACTGTGGATGCCAAGCAGGCCACCCCTCAGGCTAGCTGTCAGGTGCTGGCCTTGTGGCCTCAGTGCTGGGCCCAGGCTAGCCTCAGCCATAGACCTGGCAAGTCGGGTCACAGAATGCACCTCGGGAGGCCACTGTAGCCCACGTGCCAACTCGTCCCCCCATTATTCATCGAGAGGGTGGGGCACAGGGTTTACCTGTTGGATCCCAGCCTACCTGGGGTTAAGGGGCATGGGCTTCTGGCCCTCTGAGCATCACAGGAGCACGATTTTGTCATGGTCACCACTGTGTCCTAAAGCCTGGAAGGACCCTGGCCTTGCGGCCGGCATGTGGATAACGTGCTTCGAGGCTGCCTAACGTGGGCCCCTGCCCGCACCAACTCTGTGCCACCTCTGTGTCACTGTCAGGCCTTGCCCATGCCACCTGCTATGTGCGCAAGGTGTAAGTATGTCAAAGGCGTGAGCTCACGGGGCCACTGGAGGACTCGGGTAGACCTGCATGTGTGTCTGTGTGTGCGTTTAGTTGGCTATAGAGCTTGTGCACTCACTAGGGAGAGACTGAGAGAGGGGGAAAGTGACTTGTCACCCCCCCAGGGGATGGCCATGCCACATCCTTTCTCCTCCATTTTCCTCTTGGGATTTTGGGCACGCACGCGCATTTGCTGTTTCAGGCTGATGGGACTGGGACTCAGTAACAGCTGGCATGTGGCTTACAGCTCCACAGCCCTGTGCGCTGCCGGCCGTGCCACGGAGGCCGGACCCAGCTTCCTTCTCAGCTTTAGCGCTGTCCTCCTTGCCCACCACTGTATGATCCAGCCACGAGGCTGTTTGCTGGCCCTGGAAGTCCGGGCACCCGTGCACCCAGACCTTCGCTATCCCTGAAACCCCCTCACGGCACTGTCACCACGGCTAGACCACCTCCTCCACGAGCCCCCTCCCTATCCTAGGGAGCTGTAGCCTACTGCCGGGGTCCTGCCTCGTCAGTGGTGGGTGGCTCGTACACAGGAAGGCGACACAGGTGATCAGGAACAGAAATTAGACTAAGACCTCAATGCCTTTAGCATGTTCTCAGCCGGCCACAGCCAGAGCCTGCTCCAGGCTGCCACGCTAGTGGCTACCAAACACATGTATTTATTGAGGGATCTTACAGGAGTAGGAGTGGTGAGGGGGAAATAAAAGATTTACTCTATGAAACAGGGAATTCGAGGCACAGGAACAATGATCATAAAACATGATATCTGTCTTGTTTGAACAGGTGAAGCCAAACACAGTTCTCAGAACGAAGGAGTCTATTTGTCTGGTGCATTTTCTTCTTCAGTCTTGATTACCGGACAGGGTCTTTTGAAGAGGGGGCTTGCAGGAAGCTTGGTAACTTCAGTCCCAGGTCAGCTTGATAACTTCAGTCCCGGGCCAGGGCGGCAACATTGCTGGTAGAAAAAGGCCTAGATAGAAATCTTGTCTTGTTAAGTAAAGACACAGTTAATATATGGACTATCTATATATTACAGCTAAAGGGGGCGAGCCTATTACCCATATGGGAAACGAAGATGATCTTGTAGCTCAGGAGACAACACAGGATGTTTTTTTTTGGAGAGGTTTTTCGCCATAGGGCGCGTGCGCTCACCAGACAGGCAGAGAGAGACATAGAGACAGAAAGCGAGAAATCATCCCCGGGGGGATGGTCACGCCGCAATCTCTTCTCCTCCGTTCTCCTCTCGGGATCTTGGGCACGCACCGTGGCAGACCGTGGCAGACCGTGGTTCAAGTCCCAGACCTGGTGGCTTTCTTTCTTTCTTTCTCTCTTTCTGTCCCTCTCTGGTCAAATTAAAATAAATACATAAAATAAATAAAGATTAATAAAGTCATTCTTTAGAAAAATGGACTTCGTGGGGCCAGCAGGTGGTGTGGAGGTTGAGGTGCTGCACTCCCACATGGTCGACCCTGGTTCAAGTTCTGGACTTGGTGACTTGCTTTCTCACTTTCCCTCTTTCTTTCTCTCGCTGGTCAGCTTGGAAATATACTAGTAAATACAATACAATACAATAAACAATTATTTTAAAAACGGACTTCAGGGCCGGCAGGTGGTGCAGTAGTCAAGGTGCTGGATCCCCACACGGCCAACCGCTGCTCGAGTCCCGGACCTGGCGGCTTGCTTTCTCACTTTCCCGTTCTCTTTGTCTTTCTGTCCCTCTGTGGTCAAATTAAAAAATAATAACAGTAACAAATATAATTTTAAAAATTCTTAAATAAATGGACTTCAATATTTTCCTGTACCATATGTAATAAACCTGTTTAATTCCATTTTCCAACAAATGTTTTGTAGTTTCCTGGTGTAACCTACCAGTGTCTTTGGGGTGAGATTTTGGATGCTTGTCTCTTTGCTTCTTCTTTGGGCTTTTCTGTATTTATTTGATATAATTATTATTTTCTTTCTTTTAGAGTTTTTTTTTTTTTTTTTCCATAGGGTGTGTGTGCTCACTGAGGGAGAGAGAGACAGTGAGAGGGAAAGTGAGAAATGACGCCTGGGTATGGGGATTGGTCACACCACAATCCCTTCTCTATTCTCCTCCAGAGGATTTTGGATACGCACACACCCACGGGGCCGGTGTGAGTTTCAGGCCACCTGGTTTGTGACTCCAACCACTCTCAGCCATGTGGGAGTCATTGCGATGCAATCTGCTGGTCCCCTTAACAATTGTATTGGTTTTTTTGTTTGTTTGTTTGTTTTAATTTTTATTTTATTTTTTTATTTATTTAATTTTTATAGAGGTTTTTGCTATAGGGCGCGTGCGCTAGCCAGACAGACAGAGAGAGACAGAGAGACAGAAAGCAGGAAATCACCTCCCAGGGGGGATGGCCACGCCACAATCCCTTCTCCTCCATTTTCCTCTCAGGATCTTGGGCATGCACGCACATGCGCTTGGCGTGAGTTTAAGCCACCAGGTCCGGGACTCGAACCGCGGTCGACTATGTGGGAGTTCAGCGACATAGCCATTACGCTAACTGCTGGTCCAACAATTGTATTGTTTTTTAAAAACAAAACAAAACAATTGTATTTTTTTTAGAATTATTTTTATTTGGGGCCAGCAGGTGGTGTGGTGGTTGAGGTGCTGGACTCCCACATGGCCTACTCCAGTACTAGTCCCAGACCCGTGACTTGCTTTCTCATTTTCCCTCTGTCTATGTCTCTCTCTGGTCAAGTTAAAAAATAATAATAATAAATAAAATTAAATAAAATAATTCTAAAAAAAGAAATAA